AAAAAAAATAGGAGAAAGCCAGTTGGCTGGTACACGTTATGTGACTTCATACTGAGTCATTCAATTACTTTCTGATTTGCAAAAAAAAAATATTCGAGCTGCACTTGAAGATTTGCAGGAACTTCACCGTTTTTTTTCAATTCGCTCTTGCAATGCTTTCAAATTAGTTGAAAATATTTTAATTTACTGTACATTTGTTTACCCAGACATAAGGAACCCCGGTCATCAGCCCACATATATTCGCAATGCTCTTGCAAACTATATTTATTATTACTCATTTCATGTAGCCTGGGGTGACAAAAATTTTGCGAGCGGTTTTTGGAAGTTCTTCAACAGAGTATGTTATGTTAGTCTTCGGGGATTTTTTTTTACAGAACATTCTTAAAGCCAATTTCCATTGCAAACATTCCTATTATGAATGAAAAATAGCATTTCTCACTTTGTGTTATCCAGTCCTCTTCAAATATAGTCAATTTAGGATTCCCGTTGAGCTCGATTCTCTCCAGAACAGAGCCAACCTCAATCGGAAAGGCTCCAGTTTGAATAACTGTGAGTTCAGGACAAACGTTGACCCTGATGACCTTTATGTTGGTCAACCCAGCAAATGCGTCTTGGGAAAGCACAGAAAACGAATTTCCGCCGACCAACAGGGTTTCCAATGTTCCGCAAGTAGAAAACGCATTTGCATCGATTGCCGGGATGAGGTTCGAGTGCAGTCTCAACGTTTTTAAGGCGGGAGAACACGAAAATTCCTAAAGAATCGCACGCAATGAAAAAAAGCCAGACATTTCATCAAGTTTTCAGTAAAAAAAATATAGTGGAATTGACCACTGGAAAATCAAAGATCACTAATTTCAGACCAGGACAAGGCAATTTATATGAATGAATGAACAGAAAGCTTTATTTTCTTCTTTTCAGCATTCACAAGGTTCAATCAACATTTCCAAAACCCAAATAATCCCCTCATCACCAAACCCAAATCCATTCAAACGCATTCAATCACTTCAGAATGGAAAACAGAGAAATACGCTGTATATGGGTACCAAAATAGAAGAAAATGCTTTCCACAATGTACAATTGCACAAATCATGTGTATGCATACACCCCCTTCTTTCCCTGACATTGAAAACAAAATATGAGTAACAAGAATTGCAGCATAAGCCAGAATTATAACAATTGCAGCAGTTACTGAACCCAATTTAAAGCACAAGGTCCTCAACCTGTTCCCAGATAAGGTTTAGTTGACTGAACAATTTACAGAGAATCTTTGATGAGAAATCATTTAAGGCCAACAGTTTATCTCGATCCTCTATGATTTCAGAAAGACAATCAATTTAGGAGGCAGAGACAATTTGATGACACACTCACCCGAATATTAGCAGAAATTTGGTTGGAACCCAGGTCCAGGAGTTCCAAGCTTGGGTAGGTGGAGGAGTCAAGGAGAACAAATGACGTCAACGCATTGGAATTCAAATCCAAGCTCCTCAAAATATCCTTGGAAGATTCGAAGGTGTTCTCGCTAATCATGCTCAACTCTGGATTCGAGGTAATCTCGATATTCTTGAAGCAAAAAGAATAAAAATACGGAAATGTGTAAGAATCGAAAAAATTGAACAAAGCAGACGGCGACGATTTAAAAAAATTCTGTATTGTACAATATTCATTGTACTCGGTATGATTTTTGCTCGACACGGTGAAAAGTAATGGAATCCAAAGATGTCGCTATGAAAAAATAAAAATAACGCAGGGAAGAAACAGCACAAAAAATTGCCTGTAAAGGATGCATTAAAATTGAATATATAATCGAAATAATCGCGATTCTTTGTGTGCAAAGGATGCCAAACTGTTCCGCATATCCGATTGACCTCAGGTGAATAATAAAATGAATAAATATAAAGAATAGAAGAAATTGCAGATACTACATGCACGCAATTGACAACAATTTCCATGATCATACTAAAAAACTTTTCATGATGATATATTTTCTAAAATGTAGTCAATATTTTTTGGCCTAGTATTCATCATTCATATAACTGGCTTTCATTCACAGGACAATATTTCGGGAATTATATACCAATATTAACTCAAATACCATTTACCCCTGAGTATAAGCCAAGTACCCCATTTTTTCTGCAAGAAATTTGTCTGCAAACCTATTCCGATGTAAGATGCGCACCCCATTTTTTTTGCTTTTTTTTGCTGAGGTTTAGGAATTGTGAATTTTTTTGTGGGGATCCATTTTTCACAATATAGACATTTTGTTTTTCCCGCTTTTTACTCTCAGCAGCTCCCTCAATTATAAGAATGTCTTCTGCTTCTTTTACTTCCTGTTGCATCTCCAAAACTGATTTCTAAAATTGCTATGCCTTCAGCCATTATTTCCAATGAACAACAAGACTTGGCACTATGCATTTCCTCTTGATTTTCTTTTAATGTACCCGCATATGATGCAAAGAGTTTTCAAAAATTTTTCCTGAAACATTTTATCCTCAAGTACCGCAAGCATCATTTTTTTTCTGCCTTAAATTCAGGAGAAAAGGTGCACATAGTACTTGAGTAAAAACGTTAATAAATATCTTTTTTATTTGAATAAGTTGTTGCTTGTCAAGTGAATTTGGTTGATGAATGTCAAGCAATTTCTCACACGTTTTCCTTTTCCCCCCAAACGCAAATTTTCTCGACAACGGCCTTTATTCCCTCTTTCGTGAGTCATCGTGACACTTATGCAAAATCTAGATGACTCTGATAATATGGCCTTCAATTTTCGAAAAAGATAAAAGATTTATTCCCGTATACCTTGAAAGCAGTCTTGTGGAAGGATTCAGGAAGAAGGTAAGTCACGTAAGGGTTGTTCACGAGCCGGAAGTTGTCCATGTTGACCGCCGGAAACGGTTCGCTCAGGAAAATCTGTTCCAGTTCCGATGAACTCGACACCGCGGAACAGTCGACAGTTAATTCCCCTGTCGTCGAGGAAACGTCGCAGATGCATGGAGTGATTAGTTCGGGCACAGGACACGTCGCCTTCGGAGTGTCGAGGATTCCGACAGCTTCCTCATCGAGCAGCACCGGGATTGACAGGGATTCACTCGACAGCGACAGGAGAAGACTGGCAATAATGCACAAATACCTCGACATCCTGTCGACTTTTCTTTTTCGTACAAAAACCTTTGAAAATCAAATAATAGTAAGTAAGCCAGTGTGATTTCACGCGGAAAATGCTCTCGTGGAATAATCCGTTCTTTTCGAAAATAAGAATCCTTCCAGAAATATTTAATTAAAGTTCGAACATTTTTCTGGAAAACCAAAAGCAGTTGAAGAGTCAGAATGAGGCACTTATGCAATATTCTTTCAAGCTTCGAAATGGCGGAAATTTCTTATCATGACAATTCCAGAAATATTTAATTAAAATTCGAACATTTTTCTGGAAAACCAAAAGCAGTTGAAGAGTCAGAATGAGGCACTTATGCAATATTCTTTCAAGCTTCGAAATGGCGGAAATTTCTTATCATGACAATGCATGTCTAATATCTACACCTTTTTCAGCAATTTTTTCTCTCTGAATGCGTTGGTGACATTCGTGGAATTCACACGGAAAACGTTCTCAAAACCGTTTCAAAAAACCACACACACTACGGTAATACGGAAGGAGCAACGAGGAATTGATCTATGACTGCAGACAGCTCATATATCAACTAATATTGAAGAAAAAGCCACAATTTCTGAAACAAATTGAAGGGGTTCACGAACAATTACAAACGAAAAAATAAAAAATAATTCGAGGAACTCCTGCAGATACCGAAGGAAATTAAATTTAAGAATATTCGTAGTTTCGAGTGCAGATGTCGCTCCTACAGTGCAAAATTTCATTATCCGGCGATCGGACTGTGTCATTAAAAGCTTACCGTATTGTCTTTCATTATTTGCTGGGATTTTCGATGTTTATTCCTTGAATTTATTAGTTTTGCCTCTTGGAGAACACGCTTGGGAATAATATTCTTTACGTAAAATCCATCACAGGATTTACTACACGATAAGTCGGATAAGTCGTCCATATATGGCTGAAAAAAGCCCATTATTCGATACTTCTTCTATACTGTAATACCGTACTGCCGTACATGAAATAAATCATGGAAAATTTTCATGCCGATTTATTTTCTTACTGGCCAAGTGGCCATAGTGCAAATAGTTATGCAGTACCACGTGCTAATTAAAAAAAAATCATCCAGATATTTCGTTATGTTGTGCAGTACTGCATGTATAAGGTAAAGTATTGCATCAAAATATGGCCAAGTCTGATCAAAAATTACGTCATGATGAAGATTATCATCGGAGATGGTGTGGAAATGATCTGAAGCATGTTAACTAAATTAAGCATATGGAAAATAAATGCCAATCCTTGAAGTTAGATGTATCGACTCATTCTCAAATAAAAGAGGCGTTTTTCATTGACAGCAAAAGTACTCTGTATCCCACAATAAGCTAGGTTCAATATTTGAAACGAGTGTTTGGAAATGTGTTGAAACCCATATTATAATGTTGGAAAAGGTCGTGAGCATTTTTGAGAAAAAAATTAAAATCAATGTGTTAATCCAAAAAAATATATGATCACAATATTCAATGCTTGCCTACTTGAACCCTCCCCCCGAATTGAAGTCCATCTTCATTTCGAATTAATAAATGAGGAACTGTAAACACGACAATACGAACAACAAAAGAATAAAGTACGACAGCAAAAAAATCAACAAAATGCTTTCTGCTTCCTCAAAGGACTGACATCCGAATTTTTAGGCTTGTATATTTTGTCAATACGTCGCCGTCCACGTTTTCAGTTCATTTCATTTCAAGGAACCCAGGATTCGTAATTGGGAATGTGTTCATTCTGTGAATTACTTTTCAAAGGAAGAACGAGGTTTTTTAAAAATGTTTTTCAAAGGTGGCAATCATAGAATAAAGCAACACAAGGGCACCAAATTGTCGAAACTTCATCCGGGATTCATGGGTTCTGAGGAGCTCCAAAACTCTGAATTATCCAGAATGCAAATGAAACAAAGTTGAAAAAAAGCTGGGATTTCAGAGTCTAAGTAGAATGCCATGGCGCAAGAACAATCAATCGCATTCCCTTCATCCCGAGAGATAATTATAAATTAATAACCAATAAGATAGTAGTTATATTTGCGCAAGAACAATCAATCGCATTCCCTTCATCCCGAGAGAGAATTATGAATTAATGACCAATAAGATATTGATTAAATTTGCTCAAGAACAATCAATCGCATTCCCTTCATCCCGAGAGATAATTATAAATTAATAAACAATAAGATAGTAATTATATTTGCGCAAGAACAATCAATCGCATTCCCTTCATCCCGAGAAATAATTATAAATTAAACGATTGCTTATATTTTAAGTTTTTTTATATTTCTATATTTTTTGTTAATTTATGGTTACCAAAAGCCCATACTACAGCCTAAAAACTTTTTATTTTCAGCTTTGAATGCAGAAAAAAATTAAAAATTATAATTAAAGAAGATAGTGATTATATTTGCTCAAGAACAATCAATCGCATTCCCTTCATACCGAGAAATAATTATAAATTAATAACCAATAAGGTAGTGATGATAGAATGTCTGTATTACGAGCAAAATCCCTCTTTTAAAAACAATATAAATAAAAATTTCAAAACTCTAGTAGACCGAATATGAAATGCAATCAATAGCCCACCTGTTACGTCGATTCTTCCGCCACCAGGAACCATAATATCCAAGATTGATCGGAAAGAATCTTCTTCCAAAGTGGTCAAACCGCCGTTTTTTATTGCAATTTTGAGATTATCTGAAAAACCTGCCAACAAAGACATGTTTCGATAACATTTGAATATACATGATCCCTGTTTGTCCAAATCTCTTTTTCCGAGACTCAAATAGCTTTCGATGAAAAAAAGGACGCCCTGCTGGCATTAAAAAAAATGACTGTAAAATAATTTTGCCGTAGTTTAAAAAATACCGGTGGAAACTATGCCAAGCTATAGGGAGAAAATGCCAGTAAAAAAAAAAATTGGTGTGAAAGTTTACTTTTGCGTAGGGAAATTAACGCCGAAAGAAATAAAATACCAGGACAGTTTTTAGGCGAGAAGGAATTCAAGTGAAAGATTAATCTGACTAAATGAAATCAAAACTCTATTTTCGCGAAAAATTCTGCGATTAATTTATAGGGATAATATTTTTAGCGAATAACCTTGAAGCAAAACGAAGGCATTTTTCACCCCTTGTGTCCGACTTATGATGGTTTTCACATACGTCAATTCTGGTTTTTTCCAATTATTTAAATATTCTGCTCCATAAAAAAAATGTCAAGGCAAGAATTTTTTTCTGACTCAGATTTCATTCACCATCAAATTATTATTTTTGCAAGTCGTCCGGAATTTTTCCATGGTGATGGAATTATCTCCGTGTGAGCATTTTTTTCTCCTGAACCCCGCACAAGCGTTTCAAAAATCTCTTTACAAATCAAGAATAATTTCCCCTTTTTTTGATATTTACTGGTACTTGAGAAAATATTGGTGTGGATCAGTGTACTCTATTTACATTGACGGATCAACCAACCTGCAGGCAAAGCATTGGGATTGAAATTCCGCAAATTGACGTTATCCGACAATTGAATCTCTT